CCCCCCCCCCTATCTTTTCCGGTGGAGATACAAACTTTGCGTTTTATTGGTGTTGATCCGTGCACTTTTCGCTGACTTTACTGTGTCCCTTAAACGTCAAAACTTCAGTAGTTCGACGCCAAATAAGTTTCTCGCATATCTCCCGCTATCTTGACGTATATATTGACGTGTACTTTTGGTCCACATTTACTGCTAGTAGATCTGTGGTTCGGCTAAAGACGATGGGATGAGGGTGGCCGTTCTGGTTGAGTGGAAATACGCTTCCTAGTATGCTCTTCTGTTTATCGTTATTTTCCTACCACGGATCATCCTCTCTTTTTCTTTCCCTGACAGGGAGCACACATTCGACAGGTGGAGGCAGCCCTGGCCTAAGCCTTCAGCCCCCCCCCGCCTCCCCCAAACTCCTTCCTCTCCCTACCCAGCAGAGTCGAGGGGATCCTTTATCCCTCGAACGACATGGACAGTCCTGATTATGGAGGGAGAGGAGGGGTCTGGAAGGGGGGGGGGGGCATACCGCGGCACGAGGAACGTGGCGTGGCCTTGGAGGGGAGTAGGGTACGAGGAGGGGTGGGTCCAGACCCATACTACAACTTCTGCTGGAGTAGAAGCGAGTAGAAGGGTTCCTGGCCCTGGGGAATGTGGCGGTAAGTTGGTGGTGGAAGCTGGAAGTGCCGGAGGACCGGTGGGTATATGGATCGGTCTGCTGCAGAGACCCTTTCTACCGGGCGGGAGCTCCTCAGCCCCCTTTCCTCGCCCCTCGCCCCTTGCTCCTACCAAATTTTGGCGGCGCCCCTGCCTTTTTGGAGGGGCGTCATGGAGGTGCCCAATGATGCCCTCCGGAGTGCTCGGGTGTCCTCAACGTCACTAGAAGCGAACTTAGCTTGTCAATTTCCCCACACGAAAAAGAATGATTTGCTAATGTATAGGTAAAGCTTAGCTCGCACAGCTAATCTTTTAGCTGGATTCGTGACTGCTAATAGTTTTAGCCCCTACAGTTTATACTCTTCGCTCCATGAAAGCAGGTCATTGCTATTGGAGGAAGTCGACATTTTCCTGTGCCCGCTTTAGCACATTAGCTCCGAGAGCTAAAAGAGATCTAGCAGCACTAGCAGAAATGTTTCTAAATGTAGGTGGGGCGTTATGGCTTTTCGGTGGTTTCGGGCTAATCTAACGATCACCTCCGAGGGATAATATAGTTTTATTGTGGGAGCGAATTCGATTTATCAGTTTACTGTAACAACTTTCTATGGTAGATTTCCTATAAATGTACTGGAAACGCAAGTGTGTGAATGTCGCACACCTGCAGGTGTGTGAACATCCATTCGCACACTTAGGGGGTAAAGGTGTGAATATTTCCTTCAAAATTCACACGTTTACCCCCGTAATATGTGCACGATCGGAGCGGGTACCAGACAAGGCGCGCAGTGGCCGAGCCGGCTGGGGCGTCGCTCGAGCTTCAAATCCGGCCCGCTTTCACCTAACTTCTCGTTCTTCGTAACTAAGAGACGTGAAATAAAAGGGCAGTAGTTCTTAGATGGATGGATTGATTTTTGAACACTCTTAAAAACTGGTCTTTTTGGTATGGTTTATGAGGAATTTACTTTAGAGCAGAAACGGTGGCAGATATACAGCACATCTGAGAACTGGTTTCGGTTGAGAATATGTAGTCTTGGGGGGTGCGAATCACAATAATTTTGCTCATTGATGTCGTCTTTCTGAATTTACACACTTTCGCAATGTGCACACTTTAGACTTTTGTAAACGTCTCAATTGTGCAAACAACTCTTGTGCCTGAACACATTCAAAGATCTATTTCACAAACATTGATGCACTAGTGTGTTTTTGACAAAAATGGGCGACAAAATTTCAACCTTGCATGCACATTTGTAAAAGAGGATCGGAAATCGGAAAATAGTAGAGGAACTATTCCTCCGAAACCACCTTGGTCCAATAAGGGTACCACCACGTTGGGGATGTAGAGACAGCCACTCTAGAAATGGCAAAGAACGTAAATTCTCCTCGTACTAGCGGGCCGTAGGCGAGGCCGTAGGCGAGGCCGTAGGCCCGTATATTCGATCATGTTTATCCAGTACTCGACTCGGATGTCAACGCCTCAGGCCAAGGTAGATGTATGCCAGACGTAACAGTGTTTTTTGAGATATCGCGAAGCCTGTTACGCGAGACGTGGTCCGGCGTACTTCTACCTTGTAGTATGTGGAACAGTTTTTATAGTGTACACTGCTAACCTTTGTTTTGTTTGCAGGAGCCAGCTGTGGGCACGCTGGTGCCCGGGCTGGCGGTGGCGGGGGGCGGCCCGATGCTGCAGGCCACCCCCGCCCCCGCCACGGTGCCCACCCTCGAGCCCCCGGCGGCAGACCAGCGCCGCAGGTCAAGTGGGGCCCTCCTCGGGGCTCTCGGAGCGCTGGCGGACAACACTCTGCACGCCATGCCCAGGTGAGAGAGTTTTCTTGATGGCTCAGCGCAGCGCAGCCAAGTTAAACTCCGGTAAATTTTGAACAACACATAATCTAGCTCCATCCTTAAACATCTATAGGATTACCACAACAAATTGATGCCTTAGACTGAGAGGCACGCAGTTCAGACGCGCGATCCGAAAGACACGCAGTTTACCGCTCCAGAGATAGGAACTGCGTGAGTCTGGGAACGGCCGGCTGAACTGCGTGCCTTTCGGAACGCGCGGCTGAACTGCGTGCCTTTTAGTCTAAGGTATCGAAATAATACTTTTTATATTATTTAAAACCATTAATTGAAGTGTATGTGTTGCTTCATGTCCAAATCTGGCTAGGATTGGTTCATGTTGCGTGTACATTAGGATCTTGAGTTTCTTCGATTAAGAAATACACCTGTAAGAGTAGTAACTCCGCGTGCGAGGCTCATGCTCATCTGTACGAGTGCGTGAGTGAGCTGCGTCCAAGGTCTGGCCTCACCCACACAAACCTTGCGAACGATTTGTTGCGAAGGATCATCAAGAAAGTGCGTCCGCCATCTGCCGTTATGGAATTGCCAAGTTCAGCCAATGCCATAAGGTCTTAAGACGCCTAATAGGTAGGCAACATCTTGCCTTCCATGCAGGTGTGTACTGCGGGATGGCCTACCCCGAGTCTCGCAGGCGTCTTTTAGGTAGACTGGTGGCTGATTCACGCCGCACACTTTCGTAGCTACCGCATGCACACGTACACGTACGGGCGGGTTTGCCTATGCTCGCTGCCTAGGGCTCCTTATGGCCCCGTGAGAGAAGGCAGCCCGCCCGCAAGCGTGCATGCGGTACAGTATGCCTACAAAAGTGTGCGGCGTGCGGCGTTAATCAGCCACCTGATATGAAAACAAACGTGTCCAGGAGCTGTGTGACTTAAGTTGCACAGTTTCTACAGTCATGCAACGTAAGTCGCACACTT